TTCCTAGGACTGGTTGCCAAGAGTAAATTAGCACAGTCCAGACAGAGAATGAAATTAAATCTCACCCTGATAAAATTAAAAATCTGAAGTAAGACTAACCGAAGAGTAAAACATCATACAGAAATTACAGTAATGACAGAGTGTCAAAAGCTGATCCAAGTAAGGACAACTCTTCTGTTGTCAAAGATATGTTTGTGTGCTTTATTGGGGTCCTACCACCTGGCATGAATAAAGGTGTAACTTTACAGAAATAATAGTGGGTTTTTTTAGCCACTGTCTTCTAAGGATCAGAATGAACCATTTCTGGTAACTGAAATCTATGATCAGACCGAGAGGCTAGCTTTCTTCAAAGCCTTGATTTTGCTTTGAGTATTCTCTTTTAGAAAAGCAACTTTTAGTGATATAGTCATGTGATGATAGCTAACTAACAAAATTTTCTGAATTAAATTAGGAACTCTAAGAGTGTCTCTGAAGAGAGAGGTTTTTGTAAGTGCTGATACATACCCAGAAGTAAGTTGTGAAACTGCTAAAATGGAGTGATGAAATTAGTTTTTGTTCACAAAAGTCCTCCTAAGATACTTTCAATTTATATATAGAAATACCATTCCTCTAAAACAGGTGATAGTATCTGAATGCTCTTCTCCTTTAGAAACAGGTTCTATAATTTCAGGGTAAAGTATCTCAGACATGGTTAAAATACCTGTGGGAGAAGTATGATGTATATTAGCTTAAAAATAAGTCTAATGCCTTGTTGTGTTTGTGTTTATCAGAACAATAATAAAACCATGTGATACAGTAAGCATCTTGGTTTTCTCTCTGTATGTAAAAAGGTGATGATGAAAGATTTTTTGCTTGCCTACAGTCTGTTTTATCCTTACTCATTACTAGTAACAGAGTGAGCTCAGTTTTCATATTTAGACATCCTGTAGTGTCATCACAGCAAGTTAGAACAGAGTTAGAGCAAGAGAGGCAGAGAGACTCTGGGTGCTCAGTGTGCAGTGAAAGTTTTCTGTGGATCAATCCTCCAGTTCTACCTGGGATCTCATGAGGTATAAAATGTATTAATGTATTCTGTCCTTAATTTACTAGCGTTTTGCAGCTGCTCCTCAGAATAAATAAATCAATATGTTGCATAGATGCATGAACACATGCATGAACAAAACCCCCTCACCAATTATATTTTGTATGTATATACAAAGAAAAATTCTTCTTCTATAGAGAAATTTCCACAGTCTCTTTGGGCAGGTTGTTCCAGTGCCTAGTTACCCCCACATGAAATATGTTTTCATCTTATCTTATCCTATCCTCTTCCCCGTTTCAAGTTAGGACCACTCTCTCACCTTCTGTTATGTCCCACTGCCTTCTCCATGATTGTCTCTTGTGAGGTGAACTACCTGGTATAACCTAGAGCAGCACTGAGGCTGCTCCCACCTCACTGAACAAAAGTATCCCATCAAACTTTTCCATCTGAGCTTTCTTTCAGACAGTTGTACCTGTGTATATATGGATGTTTTTTTCCCTTGACATAACAGTGTAAAAGAGATGACGAACCAGACCAACTTGATGAGATGAAATAGTAAATGCTTGTCTTCCATCAGCAAAAACCAGCAAAATAACCAGCAGCTGTTGCAAGCAGTCTCTTGCAGGCTTGTTTCATATAGTCACCATGTTTGAGAACTCTTAAGTTCCCTGCTTGTGTTCCCTCCTTTGGGACAATCTAATTGTCTGCTTGAAGTGGTTCCCACCCTCCTCTATAAGAAATGCATTACTACCACTTTTTTCTTTTGTCTTTTACTGTGGCATTGTACTAACCACTATCATAATGTAACCATGAATAAAATGAGGTTAAATGTTTTGTAAGTTGTCCTGTGGGCCCAATGCACAGAATTTATGTAGAATTGCTCTTAAATCCTCCAGAGTCCTAGTTCTTCAGCTTAGTTGTTCAGTCTGCTTCCATGGAGCACAGTTCAAGCTCTTAGATTATCAGTCAGTCATTGCAGTCTGGGACCCAAGAGATTCTCATGGCCCCCAAACACATGCCTGTGAGTTGAGGAGCATGGCTCCCAGTTTATATGCAACAGCAGAGATTACTGGCACTAGGCTGAGATTTTGGGATTTGAGTTTTCGCATTTAGGTTAGGATATTTTTATGAAAATTTCTATGAAAAAAAAAATATTTCACACAAATTTAACAGAGATGTCATTGTCTGTGTTAATATCCACATCTGACCAACCTCTTTGAATCCTTTTGGAGGGTGTAGGTTTCTGGCAGACATGTAGCAAAAATTGACTATTCTCTTCATTTTATTCTTAGTCCAATCAGCAAGGACAAGGTCTGTGAGTCTCAGAAAAAGTACAGTAGTTCCACCTTGGCTAGAGTTGTTTATATGATAACCACAGAAAGATATATATTACAATGCAAACAATCTTACTTTCACAGCAATTTATGACTTTTTTTACAGTATTAAAGTTGAAGTGAAAAGGAACATAAATAGAGTCAAAAGCATGGCAAAGGATTGTTCAATTCTCAGACTGGTGCTTTTGAAAAAACCCACTGAAACTGTGAAAGCTATGGTTGCACTGACACAACCTAAATATCTGCATGTTGCCCATGCTTTTTCAGAGTAAACAGCCTGGCAGCTGCTGGCTTGAAAAGGAACAGAAATCCATGTGATGTACTGCATGACATCTTCATGTGCACAGTCTTTGGAACTCAGTGCTGTTTGAGCAGGAACATTTGGCTTGTTTTGGCTTCCTCACCACCTTCCTGGGGGTTTTTAATAGGCACATAGAGTTGTCAGAATATGACCACAAAACCGTTTTGATGCTTCAAACAAAACCACAGTGATGGTACAAGGAAACTCACATCTACAGAGCATTATCTTTTTGAGATTCTAGATTTTGAGAAGAATATAGGTGAAAAAAAGTTCCATCCTTTGTCCAGCCTAACAAGGAATTCTCTGCCCGTCAAGAATTCCTGTGCACATGTATTGCCTACTTAGAATGTTGAGTTTCATTAAGTTCATGCTTCTGTTTGTGTCTTACAAATTGTTCTAACAATTTGCAAGAAGGGAGAAGGAAAACGCAATTTTTTGGTTCTGCTATCTGTCTCAGCCTTTGACTTCTCCTTAGGTATTAAAATAACCTCCCTGTGTCCATGTGATTATTATGGAGGGACTCAGAGGAGTTGTCTCATCCATCATCCATCTGCTGAGAGTTACATCAGAACACAGACCAAGTTAAGGAGATAATTGTGATACTGTGTGTACTTGTTTTAGAAAAGTGAGTGTCCACCCTTGAGGCTACACAGGAGAATGACTTCTCATGGACCTTGTATGCCAATGCCTTGTGTCCCTGCAGCTTCAAAAGATAGGCCTGTGCAGGATCTTCAGCTAATGGGTTTTCTTGAAAAGTACAAAACCACTTGAATTGTGTGTGCAGCTTTTGTGGCTAGGCCCTCAGAGACTGAACTGGCAGAGGCTACTCTGAAGTTTGTATTGTCATTATAATCTGTTCTTCTTGGGGGTTTTATCCTTTTCATATCCATAACAAATTAAATAAATCCATTTGCTGGCCTCATTATGTTTGACTTATATCAGAATCCTTGAACTTGTTTATAAAGTGAAAGGATAATTTAGTTCATTTTCAGTGTCTCAAATATGTGTTCACATCTATTTTATGGAATGTATTTACTTGTATGTATCACAAAGAAGTTTCCTCTCGGTGAACTGCTCTGAATTGTCATGACAAATAAACAATAATCTGGAAAATCAGGAACATCTTTTCTCAAAATAGTTTTTTTAGTGTTTTTTACACTTTTGTTTGGTAGCTTTCTGTTAAAAAACTCACATGTAGTGCTGTATACTTTTATAGCACCTGTGTGAGAACATTTACAGTGTTTAACCAGCTGAGATTGAAATCCTGTTGAATCCCATTACCTTACCTTATGTGTCACTTGGGACCAGATAATTTTGTCATATCATTTTGGCAATAGAAATTATCAGTCTATGTATCGTGAAGTGCTGCTGAGTATTTGCAGTCTCTTATTTTTTCAAGTATTTTCAAAATACCTTTTGTTAAGAATTCACAAATATTATTATATTAAACTCCCTTACTATTTGTAATCCCAGTTAGTACTGCCATGCCAGTGGATACCTTTAAAATTAATTGTTCTGTTTCGTACAGTTGGCTTCAGGCTTCTAGAGAACAATGTGAATAAAAAAAAAAAACATTGCAAATGTAATTATATTGCAGCAATTGGTAAGAGTGCAGAAGACTTATTTCTGTACTCTTTTGGTAACCCTTTCTTTAGTAATTATTGAACAGGTTGGTTTCTCAGTTGGACTGGATTATTTTCCCTCAGCATTAGCACAACTTAAAAATTAAAGTATGTCAGATTTCATACGGAGAAGTTCAATTACTGGTTTTCTTTACAAACACAAGACATGGTTATAATACTTTTCTTTGCTCAGTCTAAAGGTCAAAATTAGCAAGATTTAAAGAGCTGCAGAAGCATACAGCGGAGCCTCTGTTGTAATCAGAAATGAAAACCAGTGCTGAATTAGTGCATATCACAGAAAATCTAATTTATAGTTATGGTTCTGTGACAGCAGCAGCACAGTTTGCATGAGGTAAAGATTAAAAAAAGCCAGCAGGTTAGTATAAAAATGAAGAATTGTGTCTGAGGAGCAGCAGCCAAATACTATGATAAGGAAGGCCTTTAACCTCATTTTCACTGTTATGACAACTGTCAAACTCAAGTCGGTTTTCTTGGTTTGGGGTTGTGGCTTTCTTTTGCAACTCTGTAGGTTCCACCAAATAAGATTTTTTGAATACATGTCTGTGCATGTGTGTGTTTATTAGCTGAAGAGCTCAGGATATGAACTTGTAATTTTTAGATCTCTGATGGGCAGTGATGTCATCCATTATTTTGCAGAGAAAGCTCTGAACCAAGCTCCCTTCATTTCACAGGCTGATGGTCTCTTTCAATCTCTTTTTAAGGGTCTTTATGTGTTTGTGGTGTATTTTATCCTGCACAACCAACTTTGCTGTCCTGTGAAAGCAAGTTACACTGTAGACATGAATGGGCATACAACTCCAGGATCAGCGTTTTTCACACATGGCAGTGGCCTGCCAGCTGCAGGAGGAGAGATCAGCAAGTCCACACAGAACCTCATCAGTGCTATGGAGGAGGTAAGAGTGCTCTGTAGTCATTAACTTGTTTATTTAAATGTACTTGGAGATGTCAGCATTAGTTCTGAAGTGTAACACATGGGAATGAGATGCTAAATATGATAGGTTGTCTTTGAAGTGGAGTTTTTTTCATTTATTTTAATGACAGAAATAGTTCTTTATCCATGTTATTCTTGGAACTTACTGTGCCTAATCATTCCACCTAAAGACTTCACCCTCTCACTCTTGAGTCTTCAGTTTATTACAGAGTTTGGTTAAAGTGCCAAAAGTAGATCATGAGAAATCAAAATAAAATATTAATTCTTTTCATTATAGGTTTTAGATGTGTTTTAAGTGCTTAATTTCTCAGAGTTATGATGTTCAAAACTTCTGGAAATTGCAATAAAGTTAGAATAAAATTGGAATGGAATGGAATGGAATGGAATGGAATGGAATGGAATGGGGAAAGGGAAAGGAGGGGAGTGGAAAAGGAAAAAGAGAAAGGGAAAGAAAAAGGGAAAAGGGAAGGTGTAGTGGGTTTATCCTTCCTGGATGCCAGTCACCCACTAAAGTAAGTGTCTCTCTCACTCCCCTCTGTAGCTGGACAGGGGAGAAAAAACAGCAAAGGATTCATGAGTTAATGACTGGGGGAAATCATTCACCAAACACTGTCACAGGCAAAACAGGCTCAAATTAGAGATATTAATGTAATTTATTGCTAACAAAGAGCAGCAAAATGAAAAAAATAAAAAATACTTTAAAAACATCTTCCCCTTTTCATCAGCCATCCCTCTTTCCCGGTCTAATTCCTCCCACAGCAGCACAGGGAGACAAGGAATGAGGGTCATGGTCAGTTCATCACCTGTAGCTTCTCCAGCTCCTCAGGGAAAGGAGTCATTCCCATGCTTGAACATGGGGTCCCTTGCACAGAAGACAGTTCTCCATGAGCCTTCCCAGTGGGAGTCCATCCCACAGGCAAGAGTCCTTCCCAGACTGCTGTAGCATGGGTCTCTCTTCCAAGGGCTGTAGTCCTTCACAGACAGGCCCCAGCGTGATCCTTTCTCTCTAAACACCTCTCAGAGGGTCACAGCCTCCCCTCTGGAATCCCCCTGCTCTGGAGTAGGTCTTTTCTATGTGGATCTCTGCATGCCCATGGATCTCTGCATGCCCATGGATCTCCAAGCTGCTTCCCCACGGTCTGCACCACAGGCTGCAGGGGAATCTCAGCTCTGGCACCTGGAGCATCTCCTCCCTCTTCTTCTCCACTGACTCTGGTGTCTGCAGAATTGTTCCTCTCACACCGTCTCACCCTGCTTTTCCCTGCCATAGTTATATCTGCACAATAACCTTTCTTTTTCTCCTTTTAAAATCTGTTATCACAGAGGCATTACCACCATTTCTAATTGGCACAGATTTGGCAGTGGGTACATTTTTGCAGCTGCCAAGGATTACTCTACCAGGCATGGATGAAGCTTCCAATAGCTTCTCACAGAAGCCACCCCAGTACCCACCCCTGTAATCCCCCTCCACTACCAAAACTTGGCCATGAAAACCCAATAAAGAAGGGAAGGAAAGGCAAGGAAAAGAAAAGTGACAGAAGAGCTATTTCCAAAATCTCTTGGTCCTCAGTTCTAGTCATAATTTCCTGTTTATATACAATAGTTTTGTCGTTTACTGCATTTCTGTGTCTTTTTAAACTCTGCAGGTACCTGCAGACTGGGAGAGGGCATCCTTGCAGCCTGCTAGTCAAGCTAGTGCTGCATTTAAGCAGAGTCCACAAAATGGTAATGTTTTCCACCCTTCTGGAGGATTCAGTACCAGCTCATTAGTTGCTGATGAGGAATCACAAGAGTTTGATGACCTAATATTTGCTTTAAAGACTGGTGAGTGACTTTTCCCTTTGCCCCTCAAAGTTTGCTGTCTTGCTATGGTGTTATCATCCTAATGGTGCCACTGTTCCACGAGATACAGTTAATGAGGTCTCTTAATATAATCTGATTTGCAATGAAAATCTTAAAAATCAGTTAACATGGGAATGTCTGATAGGACAACCAAAGAGGCAAAGGAATCCTACCTGATAAGATGTGGCAGACACTACTAACCAAAGGCCACCCAGGTAAAGTACAAATGGACTTGCTTGGTAGCAGGAGGTCACCGAAATGGTCTTTAGGGATATCACTAAGCTTTGCAAGAGACAACAGCAAAGTATTTGTGAGAGCAGCAGATTAAGTGACCTGGCACACATAACTTCAGAAGCTTGTTCCCTTCAGTGATATCAAGTCAAACCTGGATAGAAGACTGGGAATGCTGATAGTAAAACGGTGTTTTTATTAAGTAAGTTCATAATGCTATATATCCCAAACCAATTTACATTGCAGGAAATGCCTCCAATTATGGGGCTCTGTCAGACACAAAATGATTCACACAGATGCAGCTTAAAGTGAGATGAAAGAAGAAAAATGTTTATTTGTTCTTTCAGTATTTATAGGTTTTCAACAACGACCAGGGATTGGATTGTCGGGTTACCACCTTCCCAACCACACTGGTTGTGAGAGACGTCCATCAAAAGGGCATATCTTTAATGGAATGTATAAACACCTATGTTTATAGCTACTTTCCTGGGAAAGTGGCTAGAAATTATGAAAACAATATTGAAAGGCCTGATTCTCAGGGCAACAGCCCTCAACATGTGAAGGACATGGACTGATTCCAGAGGAGGCCATGAAGGTGCTCAGGGGCCTGGAGCACCTCTGCTATGAGGAAAGGTTGAGAGAGTTGGGGTTGTCAGCCTGGAGAAGGGAAGGCACTGAGGGGAGCTTTGAGTTCCTTCCAATACCTAAAGGGACTACAAGAGAGCTGAAAAGGGACTTTTGACAAGGGCATAGCATGACAGGACAAGGGGAAATGGCTTTGAACTGAAAGAAACCATGTTTAGATTAGGTGTTAGGAAAAATTCTTCCCTGTGAGTGTGGGGAACCCAGAAAAGCTGTGGCTGCCCAATCCTGGAAAGTTTTCAAGGCCAGGTTTAATGAGGCTCTGAGCAACTTGATATGGTGGAAGGTGTTCCTGCCCATGGCAAGGGGTTGGAAACAAATGGTCTTTAAGGTCCCAAGTTTGGGTTCCAACCCAAACTATTCTTTGTTCTGTGAAAATCTGTTTTATACTTACTATTTTTCTAGACATTTTGCAGACTAGTTGTATTTTGTTAGAAATAGGAAATTGTTAGTCAGGGGTTTTTTGCAAGACTCTTTTTTTTTTTTTTTTTTCCCAAGACAACCTAGGTGCAGAAGTTAGAGTTGCAAAACTTTTCTTAGGTATGTAAGAAGGTGGCTTTTACATTTTATCTTCTTGAATACTATGAAGGAAATCAGATAATTCATAGATTAGATAGACGTGAAAACATCTACATCTAACACTCTTACATAATGTTTACTGCTTAAGTAAATCAGTTGGCATCAGTAAACTGTAGGAGACTGAGTCTTAAGTTATGAAGAACAATATAAGCAATAGCCATAGCTGAAATATAAGACAATTCAACACAAATTCAGCACTTAGTTACTTTTTCCTAAGTCTTCAAGCTTCATCCCTAGTTAACTTGTTTTAAGTTCTTTGAGAAAGTTGGTCTAAAACCAACTTTTGATTTTCTTGCCTAAATTCTATTATTGTCTTCTTTATTAGTATTTTATTATAATTTGTTTTTAATGAGCATTTCATATTAGTGTGATTTTAAGCAGTGACCTCAGGTCATTGTTGGAGAAAAATACTTTATTTATGTTACTGATTCAAGAAGTGCCTGACAATTTTATATCAATGCTTATTCTTGTGCCCACATGGTTACAAGAGTAAAAAACCCCATGATTTCTAGACCAAACCAGTCATCTCATCTGGTTTCAGCCTCATATTTGAACAAGATGAACTGAAAAGGTGGTGCGGAAGGTTAGTGCATCTTTGACCAGTGAGAAAATGTTGATCAGCTATTGTCTCAGGCTCAAGTTCTAGCTCAACAATCAAAAAAAAAGAGAGAGAGAAAATGAAAGAGAGAAGCCAGCTTTTCTGTAACTAAAAATCTATCTTGTTATTTTCATCCTAACATGTTCTTCACTTCAGTGCAAGGACAGGGAGCCAGTGAATCACATGATCGTAGTAAAAAGAGATATGAGGTGGTGGAAAGCTAGATTTTTTTCTCTGTTTGGCAATATGGACCTATGCTGCTAAAGTATTCACTGTACTGTGGTCTAACAGGAGCTTACGATAATAGTTAAGTTAGCAGGCACTGAAATGAGTTCAAATTCTAGTCTCTCAGCACCACATTTCTTCCTCTCTTGCATCATTGCTTATGCTCACATGAAACCACAAGAAGTTAGATTTCTCCTTTTCTTCTTCTTCCTCTCCCTCTCTCTCCCACTCTGCATCAGTTAGTTTGATGCCCTTCGAGCACCAGTTCTGGCTCCAAGGAAGAAGTGTTCACAGGCAACTCTAAGACAAGGGCCTCTTCTCTAAATAGGCTAAGGTGTGTAGGTGCCTTTTTGCTCAACTGCTCTTGCCTGTTATTTGCCGTGTGAGGTGCTTCTCAAACCCTTTTAGGATAGACTTTATTTCAGAAGGCTGAGAATTCCTCATTCTGGAAGAGCAGGGAGAAGGTGCTTTTCCCCCCACATTACCTAGTTTTATCACTACTAAATTGAGGGTTGTTGCTTTTTGAACTTTACCTTTGATAAACTGAAACTGGACCTTCCGTTATCAGACTTCCCTAAAACTGTCAATGTATACTAAAACTTACCTACAGCATTGCTAAAACATTAGCTCCCACTCTGAGGGCTGGCTGAGGATCAGCTCTGATTAGCAGAGGAATATGTAAAGATGTTTTTATGAGCCTCTGTGCTTCATCTCTTCTTTCTGCTCATGTAGTTCTGAGTTGTCTGAAGGTGACTTTAACTTATGCTCACAGGGCATAATTTTGTAGCCACAAGGTCTAACCTGGCAGCCAAAATCAATGGGAATTAGTGTAATCATAACAGCGCTAAAATTTCATTCCTGCTCTCCTGGCACTCTCAGCTGTAGAAATGAAGACAAGTTAAAAAAATATTCAACCAACCCTCCACAGAAAAACTTTGTTTTTAACTTGTCAGTGTTTAGTAATTTGCAGTGTGCAGTGCAGCCCTTAAATAGTTGTGCTGGCACACTTAGCCTTGCTGCTAAAGGAATGTGTCGTACAACTGTGCACTTAGTCCTTGGTTCCACAGTCATTAATGCTGGGCCTAATTACAGATTAACCTGAAATACAGGCTGGGTCAGATGGAGGCATACAGCTGTAGTTCTAGCAAATCATGTGGATAGCAGTGTACTGTTTCTTAGCCACCTGTTTTGCTAGCTTTTTACAAGCATCACATGGTGATAGGCTTTTTCTGTTTTGTGTGAGGCTTCTTATATCATGCAGCTATTGTATTTGAATGCCTTACCAAGTAGTTCCTTCTTGCCAGGAACTTAATATTCCATCAAATATTCTCATGTCCATACAGAAAAACACAGTTGGGATTCACTCTGTTCACTACATCACATTGTTTCTTTTATTTTGGAGATATTTTTGAAGGCAGGCCAGCTCCAAGGCAGCTTATGTGAAGGAAATAATAAAACAATTATGGTAGGAAAAATAATGGAGGGATGTGTCCAGCTTGTTGACATGTGCTAAAAGTTTTTTTAAAAATGTTTATGAATTTATATTTATTTATTTTACTGTATAACAGTTATGGCTCTTATAATAATTCAAACAGCTTCTATTGAGAAAGTTAGTTATTTATGAATTAGTTTTTGTTGATTTCACTAATTAAAAGTTTACAGTTTTGGACTAGATCTCATTTTCCCTCTGATTTCTTGTGCAAGGAAATTTATATTTATATAAATTTATATTGATAGGCAATTTAGTAAGACCTTTGCCTTCCAGATTGCAACAGAGTCACATATTACTGTCACTGAGGATAAAGCACAATATACCAGAATTCCCTGAGGACTTCTACTCTGGTTGGGGCTGGGCAGTTAGAAAAGGAAAATAAACAAGAATATAACAAGAATAAAAGTAGATGCAATCTGTCCCAAAGCACCAAGCTGCCCATCAGCATTGCTCTAAAGCATGAATACCATAAAATGCATGATAGCTTTACTGATTTCTGAACTTCCATCTGTGTCTTACAAATACTCTTGCCCTCTCCTTTTCTGTGATGCACAAAACCAAAACAATTTATTTCTTTGGATGAGATGTGAACCCAAAATACAGCAAAGCCTTTGAGGGAAGCCCAAACCCCTCCAGGGGTGATGGGTACCCACAGTGGTAGTATCCAGATACATATTAAGCAGAATACCTCTACAATCATACCTTACTGTGTTTTTACTCTTAATAGAGGCAATTGTGATAAATATTACATAAATATTCCAGTATTTCTTTAATATGATGCAAATAGTCCAGTGATTCTCTGATATGGAAAATACCTGGAAAAGTCTATTAAGTTAAAAATCCTACACAAATACAGCTGTTACAATAACATTATATAAAATGGTTCATGATTTTCAATCTAATACAGCTAGGGTTCCAAACATTTTATAAAGCTTGGTGACACCATTGAAGATGCCTGGTTTATGAATAAAGCATCTCATGTGGCTGGTTCATCCTGAACCAGAGGAAACATTTGAAATTTCACTTCTGAAAGGTGTTCAGCACAACATCCTGGAGAGTCTCTATTACAGATTGTAGGTGGCAAAATCACTGCCTTATCATCCTGCATAATTTCTGTTTTGAAGGGCTCACTTCAAAGAAAAAAGAAAAAAAAAAAAAAAGGAAGGAAATTTAGCTAGTTTGCATATTCATTCAATTTCTCCTCTATGGTTGTCACACATATTACCTGATGGTTGTTAAGTGTGGCTGTGCCCAGTAAGCATTTTTAGTTCAATCTGAACTTTATTTATAGAAGTGCGGATGTCTGTTGGTGTCATTTTTGAGAAGTTAAAACACTGAAAGAAGAATTAAATTTGGCTTGTGTATCTTGTTCTTACACATCCCACACATCTAATAAAATCATGATTGATTAAGCGAGATATAAGTACTTGAGAGATAAAAAGGTTTCCCAGCGATGTGAGTACAATACTTACAAAACAAACTCTGTCTCCCTTAAAATGTTTTAGTGAAAGTCTGAGCTATCTCTGAGTAAGCAGATGATAGCAGCTGTGTTCCAGGGCACCTTCGGATGCACTGGTGTAGCCCTTCACCAGCAGATGTCAGTGGAGGAACTTCTGTGGGTTTGAAGCCTGTGCTGATTCTTCAGTTTAGAGATAGTCGTTGCACAGAAAATGAAAAGAAAGAAAGGCTTCATTTTCCTGTGTACTTTTCTTCGAATTGTTCCTTCATAAATTGGGGAAAAGTAATACTCCCTGCTACATACCTACCATCCAACTCTAGCATCTCTAGATGAGTGCATGCTTTTTGGGATCTGATTGAGTTTAAATTCCACTCTAATCTGAGAACACAATGGACCAATGAACTCTGTGAAACTCCATTGTATAAACAGTCATACCCTTTCCAGACTGTGGACTGTTTGGTAAGCTGGTATCCTGGTTACATTTCAGTTCTTATTCCTAAAAAGGATCAGCTCTAGCATAGTTTGTCTTTGCAGCATCAGGAGAACAAGGCCCTTGTAAACATAAAGTACACAGTTTCAGTCTCTGATTTAGCAAGTTCCTGATAAGAACCTCTGAAACAAAAAAGATCTTCTCTGACTTTTTGCACAGAGCATGGACAAAACTTGCACGTATATGACATTTATGAATATACATAATGTAATACCATTAGACCAAAAGCCAATCTTTTAGTAGTGGCCAGCAAAAGATTCTTAAAGAATCCCAGTGCTGAAAAGTTGCCACTTTACCAGTATAGCCACTGGTAAGACGAATATCTTTCAAATACCAACAGTCAGTGTTCACCTTGAAATCTGAGCCCAGGGTGATCTTATTTATGATTTCAAATGCTTTTAAGTAATGGAGGGTTTTCAGCTTTTGAAATTTTTACCCTTTACAGATTGACTAAATGTCTTGAATGAATTCCGCTGTTATTATGCTACATAAGAAGTATTGTGTTATCTCTTCATTCAGAGTATTTTATTTACTTCATAGTTTTTACTTGATTTTCCATCCCCATGTGGTAAATACAGCAGTCTGATTCATCTTCTCTATTACAGTCAGGTTTCCTATCTAAAACAATTAAATATCGTACAATCAAAATAACTTGTTTAAGCAATTACTGTTTTTCCCAGGACTTTCAAGCACCTTTTGGATATTAGGATCTGTCTCAATGAAAAAATTAAATGCACATACAAATTTAAATCACCTTCAATACATTTATAAACAATTATTTTAATAATTCAGATCCTAATCTTGACTTTGTTATTGTGTCTCTGTATGTTGATGGATTTTTACTCCTGTCACACTCTGGCAATAGTTTTTGGTTTCTCAAGAGCTTGGGTCATGGAGACCTAAGGACTCATCAGTGTCAGTGAACACGTGTTCCCTCCCTGACCCAAACACCAAAACCAGGTGTAAGAAGGATCACGGTGCAGCTCGCCCACTTTTCCCCTGGATCATAGGGCATGGATAGAAGTTTGTCCCCTACCAGAACTTCATCCCGACCTCTGCAGGAAAACTTGGCTAGTCCCACAGGACCTTCTGTACAGGTTCTCTGGACCAAACTCCATATTTAAGATTACAGCCTGACTTCCCACAGCAAAGCACCATCTCACTCCTGCCTGCATTACAGTACTTATTTTCTGCTTAGGGGTGGTGGGTGGAAGGGTGCTAAGAGAAAACTGTAAAAGTTGGAACAACAGAGAGCATAGAAAAATATTAAGAAAGTCAAAAAAATTAAACTACTTCTTACTTTAGTCAAACAAACCAAAAACTGGAATGTCAGCTGAGGTAGAAACAAGAGACGCACTGTACACCTGATAGAAACTCTAGAAGATACTTTTTGTTATGAAATGCATATCGGTGCCTCTCCCAGCATACCCTGTTCAGGACTGTTTTGAGCCAGATGTCATTCCTTTGTAACTGCCTCGATCTGCGTGTAGTTACAGATCTGCTTCTGCCCAAAACAAATTACTTCCCTCATCATTTGTAAATGACATCGCTGCAGGATCATGCTTGAAAGTAATTTGTATTGAAATCCTCATGCCTCATTATACTGATATGCAGTTCTCAACAAATTTAAAGCCTAGACACCCTAAGCCCTCAAAACTCATGTATTGTGTAGAAGTTGTTCTACAGCTCAAGCAGAGCAGCTGAAAAAACACTGAAGTTTATAGTTCCAACAGATCTTTTATGACAAAATGGTCTGAAAAAAAAATTTCATTTCATAAAACTAATGAAGGATTATGCATCTTCACATTAATCAACTCAGATCTCCCCCACAAAAAAGCCCAAACAAAATCCCCATCAAACAAATAGGAAGCAGAAAGCTAGCCAAAGTTCTGTGACAAAAGGGTGGAGAAAGAAGACTCCCAAGGTCTCTTCTAGACATGTTTTGGAGGTTCATAGTGAACCAGAATTCAGAGTGGACCAAACTCTAGTATTGTCTTCCAGTAGAAGTAAAACTTAATGCACCAGTTTATGCCTGATGTGGGTTTAAAGAATATTTGGTCAGCCTATTTTCTCATGTTAAAATTACTGTCCTGTTAAGATAGCTGGAATTATGTTTGAACTTGGAAATTGTATCATTAAAAATCTATTCTTTAAGAGGAAGTCGTTGGAAATACCAGACTCTAACTGCCAGACCATGAACCCGGTCTACAAAGCCTTGATTTATGCTTTTCTGATTTCAAGGCAACCTCTAAATAGTCATTGTACGATTTACTGGGCCAAGTAAAGTGTATGACAGTGGAATTATGAAAAAGCATATCTGGATGCTACAAAGATGTGTCAGCTAATGTTATAATCCATGGATTCAGAATGGTAGACTAGTAAAAGGAAGCTTGCCATGTGGGTGTGGGGTGGGGAAACATTTCAATGATCTGAATAAAGCAGAGTGGGACACAGTATCCCCATTTCTGTGTCAAAATTTCATTCTCACTGATGCTTATTTTTGTTATTTTTTCTCTATTTCAGGTGCAGGTCTCAGTGTCAGTGATAATGAGTCTTGTCATGGCAGCCAGGATGGTGGCAGTATGGCTAACTCGCAGATCGTGGAGCTTAGAAGAATACCCATAGCTGACACTCACCTCTAACTCCGCAGCTTGCTTGGGTTTTTGTTGTTGTGGTGGTTTTTTATTCAAGCCTCAGTATTTTTATATTTTACTTCCTTTTGCACTAAAACACTATATGAAACTGTAGTAGAATGCTGTTATCTTTACTGAATGTTTAAACAAGAAATGTTTGCTTGAGGTTTTGTACATCAGAAAAAAAACTGTAAATTTTTTACAGTGGGTGAGCAACAATTGATACTGTGACGATTGGCCTAGATTTGTATCTTGTAAGTAGATGATACATTTCATAAACTGTAACCTTTTTTAAATTAACCTGTATATTAACGCTCATTAATAAAGCAATAGAGTCTGTTTGATACAAACCAGTCTCTTATTTCTCCCTACTGTTTATGAAGATGACAAGTCATGCAGACACCCTGTTGGATAGGGAAGCGTTCTAGTAGCACAGTTTTTCTAAGTTTCCCAAGCTATACTCTTCTCACTGTTTTTTGAGTACCTAAATCTGTGAACAAGACACAAGCCTGAGCCAAAGAGCTTGAAATTTAAATTCTGACATGATCAATATGCGATGATCTGAAACACACAGAGGAAAGGGGAGATGAAGAACAAGAGTGAAACCACTAGCACCTGTGTGCTTCTAATTTCTTTACCTTGCTGTTTTCGTAATATTAAGATCTCTCACTCTTTTCCCAGTCAAAAATAGGGGGAATTCCAGTGCATTCAGTTTTATGTTGATCTCCATGTAGATATTCCTGTTCTGACTGAAGGGTTCAAGCATTGCATTACAGAGCTAGATCAGTAATCTGGGGCCATAAAAGAGTGAGAAAAGTTCCTCCCTTGGAAGAAAAATAAACCAGAGGAAGTATTTCAGAAGTGAGGGGGGAGGCAAGCTAATCCTGTAGGAATCATTAACTCTGCTTGTGCACAGACAGTCTAGAAGAAAAACACATTGAAGCAGGAGACCAAAGGAGTTCTCATCTGAACTTTTCTCAGTGTAGTATAGATGTACAGTAAATGAGAGTGGAAGTCTTTTATACCTTTCTCAGGAGCTTGACTAAAGGCTTCACACTGGGTAAGGTCTGAGCAACAACCACCTCCCTTTAAAAGAAAACTTTTCTTATAGAAATCTTTCCATGAGTTTTATAGAATGATATGCAAATGTTGCTCTGCCTAATTAACTGTTGAGCTTAAAAAAAAGCCAAAACCAACAAAATAAATAAATCCCACTTCTGTGTCACAGTTCTATAACAGCTAGTAGGACTGCACAGGTTATAGTCATCACCTGCATCCAAGACAGACACCAACTTTAAGATCTAATGATGTGGAAGCCTTGACAGACACAGGAAACTATTTCTATTCAGGAAAGCCCTTAAACAAGTGCTTTTTAATTATATATTTGAATTGGGAAATACGAATATTACTAGTATATGATCTGCTGTATTGAGTCTAAAATTTCTGACTCACAGGAATCTTGCTGGCTCTTTATACTGGTCATGGTATAACAGAGAACAAAGCCAAGTCTTTTTGGTAAATGTCAAAAGTTAATGTGAGGTTGAAGGTGGGAGTGGGGGACAGTAGATGAGCCTTTCCTTGCTGTGGGCAATGCACAGGGCAGTCACGGGGACCCTGAGCAGAAGGGGCAGCTGTTAAATTTGAGTGCAGTGCATTACAACAATTATATACATGCATACAGACGTATAAAGTGGGAAACTTTATGTAAAAGTGAGCCATCTAAGCAAATTTTATAATTCACTTTTTTGCCGAAAATACACCTGATGAAAAGGGACTTTCTGAGCACTTGAGTGAAATGCAAGTATCATTGAAATAGTCAGTCTGGAGTTAAAATTAGTTTTGGATATTTTGCAATATGGCAAATTTTTTGTTTTCCTCTTAGGGAGGCTGGCTCATTCTTCCTGAGTAAACTGAGATGAAGTAAACCTTGTTAGTGCTGATCCTTCTCATCTACCCACTAAAGGCTTAGTGTGAAGCCTGGCCCTACGGAACTATTGCAACACTTGCTCGGTTGTGAGCAAGTGAGGGCTGTAACAGATGTTTCATTGCTCACAATACATGCTACTACATGCCGTGAGAAAGCTTATAAAAGAGGATGTTTGTTTGATTTGACTCATCACCATAAATGTTAATATTTCATGTCACTTCAACTTGTTGCACAACTGGCCTGGTTAGGGATTTACTGTAAATGCATCAGCATTTTCAGAGCAGATCAGTAGGATGGCATCTGCTGCCAGCATTTTCTCAATTGTAAATCTCTAGGTGGTACTCGCATGGTTTAAGGTCATGAGATGAATTTTATTGTTGTTCTAAAACCGACCCTTTTCTAGCAGAAAATGTTCTGACTGTTGGAGAGTCAGTGGTTTAGTAAAAGGAGTCTCTCCCAGCCCCTTTTTGCTTGGACTGGCAAAGACAGAGACAGGAGGGCAGCTGTGTGCTCTGAGTCAGGTGTGCCCAGCAGCCACACCTGGGCAGGACCCGTACCTTTACACTTGGCATAACTTAACCCAACCAGACTGAACGCCTCCTGCGGCTCCTTGATCTCAGGAATTATTTAAAATTTGATTGAGAGTGTAAACATTTCTTTGTTTCTATGAGGTGAAATAATCTGCAGCTAGGTATCTTTCAAACCAAGCATTGCCACACAGCCTGCCATGCTGACTGACTCATACAAGCCTTTGCATTGCCCCTCTGTAGGGAAAAACACTTGCTGCCTTTTCTGTTTTCTTATAAAGGAAGATAACTTCTCCCCAATGAGCCATTTCACATGTTTTGAAGAGTAGAAGGAGCTGTATTAATATTTACTGTATTTAATATCAATACTTAATAAAATATTAAATAACAGTATTTACTACAATATTTAATAGAATGTATCTATATTTCAATTATTATTTAATATTATATTATGCTCTATGCCATACTATAATGCTATATAATTGCTTATAAGTTATTATATTTCTAACCCATTACACTGTTACAATTTAATATTATATAATACTTAATATATAACATTTTACAGTTTACTGTGTGAAGGGGGTCCCTTTTCCAGACAAATTTTACTTAAAACTACTTAGATACAATTGTAGATCAGATGGATGAAAGGACGTGTTTCAGGAGTTTATTACTGCTCACTTGCCAATATAATTCACCTCTTTGAAAGATGTCTGAATATATTTCACGTTCAAATGCATAACTGGTGAAGAATGCTAGGTTCAACAGACATCTTTTAGGTGATGTTGTAGAGAAAGCCATTGATTTCACCTTTTTTCCTGTATAGAAAAAACAAAGCTTCATGTCAGTGACTTGAACAGAACTATTCAGATTACATTCTTTTTTAGAACCCAGCTGAGGCCCCCAATATTTATATATATTCTGCCTCTACCATTGTCCTGGTTTAGGCCAAGTTTGAGAAGAAACCTCCAAATGGGGTTCCTCTAGAAAGCAAGCGTCACCTCCCCCAAATGGTTCGGGGAAAAGATTTCCTTGGAGAAAAGTGGAAAAAATGTTTATTTAACAAGAAAAGTATTCACAAACATTAAAAATTAATAATATTAAACAATAAAAGCTCTTGCAGTTCTGAGGAGATGGTAAATCCAGAAATTCCTTGTTGTGGGGTGTAGCTCAGCCCACTCAGATTCTTATCAGTCCCTCTGGTGCTGGAAAGTGCCGTGTCCCGAACCCCTTTGGGTCACATCCGTGAGCTCCTGGGGTTTGTCTGGTTTTCAGTCCAGAGCAGGTTTGAACAGACAAAAGAAAAAAACTGCAGCTTCTTCCTTCCCCCCTTCGCTCTTGGAACCATCTTAAATGTGCAGAACTTAACATCCAGCATAAACACAACAGAGGTCTGGGGATACAGACATCATAACGTCACCATAGGACAACCATGCAAATGCTCAGCTCTCCAATATTCTACATCTAAAGTCATCCTGTTGAGGACTCCTCAGTGAGAGCTTTGATCTGCAAAGGATTAGATTATACTGGGAGCTTTACAGCAATAAAGCTCCTATATGCTCAACATAAAATTATGTTAAATTCACTGATCATGTCAGGATCATGGTTAGACTAGAAAATTGCTTAAATTCAGGCACAGCCTGCTGTCAGATGCATTTCACTATAGCTTGGTTTATACTCTGGCCTTTTCACTCCTATTGTAGATTTTGTTTCCAGATTTTTGTTTTTAGTGTAAACCACTAAGAAATCAGAATGTATTTCAAATTTCAAATGGCAGCAGAATTTGCTCCTTCTGGGTTACTTCTGCTGACAGTAACATGTATGAAAGTAGCATATGCAAGATTGGGCTTATCTGTTCAATATGTTATTCTGTTAATTTTCACAGGAAAACATTCAAGAAGAATTTCTACTTCTAATTTCATGATTCAAAATTATCTTCTTTACAATAAATACCTTGCAAAAATTACAGTGTAACACTCCGGTACACAATAAATAAATGGAAAAAAATTGCAATGTAATACTCAAGCATTATTGAACTAAATACCTGGGACTAATAATATGCTGAAACTGAGAAGACAGTTTGTGTAAACTAGCCTAAAATTTAGGCCAAAAACCCTAAGAATGATTTTGCTTGGTTGGTTTTAATGAAGTCAAAGTTGAGTTCATGATAGTTACAGCATTTTTAGAAGAAGACAAGATTGGGAGGAAAATATAACAATATTTGCAATAACAATATAACAGTGTCTGAGGTAAAAACAGAAGGGCTTTGACTGGAGCTGTTTTTGGCCAACTCAGCAGGCAGGCTTTGAAGACAGTGTGATCATGCCTGTGCTGTAGCACCACTGATGTGACACACAATGACTTTATCCAGTGAAACTGGAACTTCCAAAAGCTGTCTTCTTCTGTGTGCCTTTACTCTTCATGGGCAAGACACATGTCACACATGCAGACAGACAAAAACCAATTACAGGATACAATGATACAGATACGTAGATATGGATGTGGATACAGGTACTGATACAGGTGGATAGATATAGCTAGGTATAGATGCAGATGTAGATGTAGATGTAGATATAGATGGACAGATGTATAATAAGAATAAATTCTGTTTCAGTCTGGGAGCTAAAATGTTGTGGTTATGAAACAGGTTTCTCTGGATACTTCTTGGCTCCTGCTTTCCAATTCCTGAACCAAAGTTAAGCTTGTGGTTTCCTAACTGGAAAGAATCAGACATGGGATATAGAATACTTAAAAGCAGAGGGCATAGAAAGAAGGTAAGGGGATGCCCAAAATCCCCCTTTGCTCCTAGCCTCACATAGCCCAAAGCTTTGTGATGGATGTGCTGCACAACCTACAGCTTGTTTGTGCCCTGGGTGTGTCTATTCCCCATGGCAGGGAA